TACGTTTATTTGTATCGTTAGCTTTTATTTTCAATACATTTCGAATTTGTAAAAAATACGCAAAAATATGCAAAACCAAATTTCACAGTTAGATGCAAACTATTGTGCTTTGTGATTCAAAAAAGTGTAAAGAAAAATATTGCATACGGATTGCATAGAAATCCGTGGTTTATTTATTTCTATTAAAAGAATTATATATATTTAATTTAATACGCCAAAATTCAATTTTCGATGATTTACTATTTAGGCATGTCTTTTTACTCCGTAAATTACGAGTACAGTTAATTTATTATTATACCAGGAACTCGACACTTGACAGAGATTATAAACCTAATACTACGATTTAAAACAGATCTTCAAAAAACTTTCTCCACAATTTAAGTACTCGACACATAGAATTTTCTCTATGACTCAACATCACTAAGACACTAAATATATTTATAAATTTATATGTATATATATATACGGCCATGGCTAATTAAGTATTAAGCAAACAATTATAAAAACCACGGTTTCAGGATATACCTACTTTGTATTATATTTTAAACCGTGATAAAAACATTAAAAAATCAAATCAAATAGATAAGGTTTTTGTACTTATGTTGATAATATGATAATATAACATTTTGGTGTAGTTTAATTCTAATTTGATTAAATAAAAATAGTCTCGAATAAAATAAATTTTTACAACTAGTCAATACTCTCTATATTATATGAATTAATATATTTTGTAACTACATCATTGATAATGGGTAAGAATAATTTTTTTTTTTAGATATTTATTCTAGACTAGACTTATTTTAATAAGGTTATGGTAAATAACTAATTGTTATAATGATCTATTTGTTTATTTTAAAATGTTCATAACTGACTATAAGTAAAATATATAGTAAGGCATGTATTGACAACGGTGGATTTAACAATTGTTTAGTTGGTAAATCTTCTAATATGTACCTATACACTATACAGAGGCCAACCTAAACTGTAGTTAACTTTTTTAAATTTTCACCMCAAAAACATTAATACAATTTATATTGAAAATCACCATCACTTAACATTGTTACTTGTTAGGTTAATAAAAACAATATATTTGGAAACATATTTTACTGATACATTTTCTTGGAAGCCCCTCTTATGGATTTACTGACTATTAAACCCTAAAATCTTCCACTGGACAAAGACAACACGTTGAATATATTGTACTCCTAATAAATAATTAAACTTGAAATTTAAGATGAAAATTATATCTTTTGGATACCCTTATAGAATTATKTAACATACTTGGGAGATTTTATGTTTAAGGGGATGTTTCACTGACACCTGTATTCTCCGTCTTTCAGTTGCGTTTCAAGCAAATTTCATGCTCAGCTGATCATGTTTAGCTCTGTTTGTTTAAAAGTTAGAATGAATTGGTTTCTTATACAATTTTAAAATTAAGATTATTAACTAGGAAATGGCATAGGCTTTTTATTATATTTCAATTTTAAAGCGAGTTATGAGTATTTTAAGATTTACAAACAATTTACAATTTTAAAATACTAATTATCTTTTCTTTACATTTTATAAGTCAATTCAATTTAATTTTTAAACTAATGTAGCTAAAAGTTATCTGCTGAACGTTAAATTTGATATGTTACGCACTTTTAACATAGAGATAACAAAAGTCAGTTTAACATCCCTTTAAATTGCTWACTAACTTGATTTAAAAAAAATCAATGTGTTATTTATTCTGTGGAATCAAATTGTTAAAAATGTCTATTGAGTTATCAAATTGAATTAATTGCTTTGTATTGTTTATAATTCCACATATTGTAATTTTAATTAATCACTTCACAATTTAATTTTAGATGTGTCATCAAACCCTACAACTTCTCAAGCAAATGCAACTGAAAGTCAGTATCCCGAACCAGAAGTAAGAGTTCGACAAAATCTACAAACTCATAATGTGCATGATGAAAATCAAGCTGTACATAGACCACCTCTTAATTGGAGAACAACTATGAAAATGGATGAAAAGCTGAATATCTGTCGTATTTATTATATTGCAGGATTTTTCTTATTACCGATTTTCTGGTTGGTTAATTTTGTATGGCATTACAATGATGCTTTCCTAGCTGAACCATTTGAAGAACAGCCTCAATTTAGACGTTATGTTTTAAGATCCAGTATTGGCTTTATTTTCTGGTCTGTGTTAATTATTGGTTGGGTGTTTTACTTTCAAACACAAAGAAATTATTATAACTGGGACTACTTAACCTTTAATTTCCCAACTGGATCAGCTTAAACTGAGATTAAGCTATTCTCTATTACTAAAGTATTTTATTTTTATACCTAATGTAAAAATAATGTTTATATGTTTTTTATAACAAAAATATTATTAATTTTTAATTAAAAACCTATTAAAATTGTAGATCAAATATCGTTATTATTCTTTGTGTGTAACTATGAATGATGATTTGTGTCTTAATTGAAAAAAAATGAAATGGAATAAATTTAATTCAATATAATATGCAAACTGGTTCTTATTTATTTAGTCAATTTTATTAACACCTATTTAAGTAAAATTCCTATTAATTATCAGTTAAAGTATAATTTTCATATTGTTAATCTCTGCTGTGTCTATGAATATAAAAGCATTGAAATATATTAAACATTTGGCAAATAGTCAAAAAATATTAATTACTAACACAGGTTAGGTTAGGTTACCCTAATATAATTCGTAAAACATTTTTTGTTAATAATTTAAATTAAAATATGAATCTTAAATTGTATTGCACCTTATGTAGGTATTTAAATATACCTTTTTTTTTCTGTTCAAAAAACCAGGAACGGGTGAAATATACCTATACTGGTTGTTAAACACATATATTATGTAGTTAAAAATGTAGGTTATTTTTTATGAGATTGATTTATTACAATGTAAACCAAGCAAAAATGTTTAATCTGATGTTACTTTTAATTAAAAAATTATAAATTTACTAGTTTACAATAATTGAATATTAATCTTTACATCTGTACATTTGAAATACAAAATCTTTTGTTAAAATTGGTTATATAATTTGAAAGATTTTCATGCTATTATAAAGTATAATATGGTTATATTTATTTACTTATTTACTAACTTTATATGGATTTGTAGTTTATATATTTTTAGCTTGTTTTGACATAATTTCCGACATAATAATAATTTGATTGTATAGAATAATATAGAACAATTTTTCTTGATCTATAATATTATTCTGGCTATAGCTGTAGAGTGACCTGGTTTACTGTCGATAAATCATGATTATAAAGTCCAATGTCCAATTGAGTTCATTAAAATGATTTTCCATTGTAAATTGAAAAAAAAATCATTATTTTATAAACTTTAGTACAATGTTTTGGATATTTAACAATTAAATAATTATTTAACTAAATTTTCTTTGTATAGTTTATCAATTACCAAAACTGATTTAAAAAAAAAAATACTATGCAATATAATACTTTTAGTGAACAAATAAAGTTCAATTAATTTATAACCATTCAAATCAAAACAATTAAATGACTACATAATTATATTTTAAGTACCTAATCTATAATAGCATTGGTTTTAAAAATCAAAAAGTAATTAGTTATTTTATTACTAATAACTTTTAACAATAATGTAAATGTAAAGCCATTATGTGAGATTTCCTACCATACTTTCATTCATAATTCATTCTTAGTTTTTCTCATTTCTACCATAATTATTGCCTATTTTACACCTATAAATATTGTAATATTTTCTAAATAATCATRTTTAAAAATAAAATAAACTTTTAACAGTTGTTAAAAGCTTTAAAAATTGAATAAATTTAGTTCCATTAAAAATTAAATAATTGTAATAATTTATTTATTCATTCAATGTTCAATAAGTATAAAGTTTCAAATGTAAAATATGTTATTATTTTAACAATGTTTTAWTTTAGTTAAGCTTACTTGATATTCTCTGTTTTAAATAAAATGATTAGTTAATTTAWAAAATAACTTACACATTACACAAGTTACTACATTTCACAAACTTAATCTAAATTGTTATAGTGAAATATCTAATTTTTTTTAATTATTTTGTTTTTATTAGGTATATTAAATTATACCTTTAGAATAAAATAGTGTAAAAAGTTTTCATGGTACAAATTCTATTTTAATCAATTATAAAAATATTTCTTATTTATATATTACTAATTAGTGCACATTATACYATATTTTAGAAGATTGTGACACACATACTATGTATGTATGTCATTATAATTGCGTATCAACTTTGTTTAATAATCATTCAGTGTTATTTTGATGACTATTTATTGTTTTTAATTTAATACTTTTAAAATGTTGCTATTTTGAGATTGTATAAAAGAAATGATTCAATACTTCACATGTACCTAGTACCTACCTATCTACAGAAAATTGTATGCCATATTTTAACATTTAGCATAACATGCATCAAATACTTGGATCTTGAAAATCGAAATCATTAAATAGTTTTAAAATTGTAGTCCAAAAATTAAAATGAATGCCCGTAATTTAAATTATTTTTGGATCTAAATTATTAGCAAATTGAMAATTGAACTGTGTTAAAAATAAGACTGTAGTATTGGTTGTATAAATTCTTTTGATATTATGATCCAAATAATCAATTAAATGTAATGATATTTACTCAGAAGGTAACATTTTATTTAGATACCTATGTCAAAAGAAATTTGTTTTAAGATTTCTTCAATGAGAATATGTTAAATGGGTAACCGTATAAAATCAAATTTTTATAACATAATTATCTAGTAGGAATTACGTATTGTTAATTATGTTWATGAATAATACTATTTTTTACATAATAATATTTACAGAGTTGATAATCATTTTCATCAATTAGTTTACTGATGCTTAAACAAACGTAATATTATATCATATAGATATGAGTACTTGTAATAGCAGGTGATCAATGGTCAAGAAATTTATCACGTGATTGTTAATAAATAATCTGATGAAATGGAAGTACTAAAATAATAATAGCYAATAGATAAAATTAAAAAGTGGGGTATACACTGTACAGTTTTCTATAAAAGCAAAAGACTTAAAGAGATTAAAAGTAGATATTGTTACACTTGCTGAACAATTGTGTTTTGAATATCAATTTTTATCTTGAAATCATCGTTCATACTTAAAACAATGCGTCTTTGTAAGTAATTTTCATTTATTAATTATTTTTATATCCTTGGTTATATATTTATATAATACTAATTAAGGTTTGACTTTTGTTGCATTTGTATTTTATTTAAATTATATATTTTTTGAGGTTTTTGACGTTTTAGGGTATTATTTATTTTTTAAAATATTTCTTGTAATATTACAAAAAATATATAAATACATGTATTGTACTAAAGCAATATAAGGTAATCCATTTTTTAAATATGATGATACATAGATTTATCTAGATTTCTCAAGAAATCTGTGTTAAATTCCGTGAACTTTTTTGGAATCTTTCATAGTTAGGTATTGGATCATAAATGAATTGTTTTAACATACAACATTACCTAACAAATATCTTTTTATTTACCTAATATAGAATATATATTTTTTTTAACAATCATTAAACAACAATAATTATTATATTATTATATAAATTGTAATTATAGCCTATACAATTTATAGAAAATGTGTATTTTATTTCCTACCTAAGTTATTAACTTTTATGCTGAATTTAATTTAAAGTGGAAGAAAATAAAAAATCAGTGGCAATCATTGGCTGTGGTGCAGCTGGATTAGCAGCTCTTAAACACTTTACAGCTGAAGGATCTATGTTCTCATGTGTATCATTTGAACAGACTGACAATGTTGGTGGTACTTGGGTCTACACTGATAGAGTAGGCAAAGACAAATATGGTTTACCAGTTCATTCAAGCATGTACAAAAGTTTAAGGTATATAGCATATATAAAAAATATTTATCTTTTTTCTAAGATGGTCTTTATTTTTAGAACTAATTTGCCTAAAGAAATTATGGAACTTCCGGGTTTTCCACATAAAGGTCCTGAAGACAAATCGTACGTGGCAGCCAATGAAATGTTAAAATACTTGGAAGACTATGCAGCCCATTTTGACTTAATAAAACATATTAAGGTAATAATATTAATGAATGTTTATAAAACCAAAACTAAAATAATATTGTAAATATATTGTGAGTTATAACTTATTTAATAATTGTATTATAGTTCCATCATCACGTAAAGGAAATTAGTCCTTTAGAGGGGGATCGTTGGCGTGTAACAGTAATTGACTTGCAAGAAAATAATGTGGAAATATTTGAATTTGATGGAGTTATTATTTGCATCGGGTAATTTATACATAAAGATTTTTTTGATTTTATTTACTGTTTTAATTTTTATGATGTTTTAGTAATTATAGTAATCCAGCAATTCCCGATGTTCCTGGAATAGAGAAATTTTGTGGAATGAAAATTCATAGTCATGATTACAGAGATTCTTCGGTATTTAAAGACAAAAATACTGTGGTGATTGGTTGTGGTCCCTCAGGATTAGATATATCATTTGATATTGCAAAAGTAGCAGAAAAAGTAATAACAATTAATTAATTTTAACTTTTTTTTTCTTATTTCATTCCAAATAATAATAAAATTTAAATGATATTTATYTTAGGTTTACTTGAGTCACCACAACCAGCGTGTAAAAAACATGAAATTTCCATCAAATATGGTTCAAAAAGTTGATATTAAAGAAGTAGTTGAAAATGGAATAGTTTTCCAAGATGGATCTTATCAACAAGTTGATTCAATTTTATATTGCACAGGTAAATAAATGCTGTTTAAGTTAAATAAATAATGTTAGCTACTGAAATCAACTTTAATTATTTTCAATATTTTGTTTTAGAAATATAAAGAAATTGGCCTACTATGGCTATAGAGAAATCGTATGGCCTATTTAGGCATATATCATCAAAATGTTCATGTTTCTATACTGGATTTTCTTCATTTGAATGACCTTTCAAAGGTCTAGAACTAATAAGATATTATTTTTAGTTATTTTATTTTTATTTCTAATCTTACACTCAACTTAAGTCTTAAAATAATTTATATACAGTATTTTACTTTAAAATTTTTATTTTCATATAATTTATTTAATTTTGAGCAGGATACAATTATAAGTATCCATTCCTGAGCCCAGAATGTGGTATTCGTGTAGAGAACAATCACGTTAAGCCACTTTTTAAGCATATACTGAACATTGAGCACCCTACAATGTACTTTATTGGAATTCCAACCAACACGGCTGGTTTCTGTATGATGGATTTACAGGTAATTCTATAATGAGAAAAAACTAAAAACGCCATTAAATTTTAATAATTGTGAATCTTATCGAAGGAAATAAAAAATGTATAAAATGTGTTGTAATATGTTAAACACTTGGGTATACATATAACTGAGATTTATTTACAGGTACAATTTGCCAAAACGTTTTTAG